TATTAAATTTCAATCTAAAAGTTATTAGTTTTATTATAAGATACATCTAAATCATTTCGGATAATTACATCTACACTACATTGGAACATTACATATCACCACTACTGGCTGTAATAATAATAATTATAAAGATAACAAAAAGTTCTTCCATCAGGACATCACCTGTCCACCCTACCAAAGGTACCAAGACTGGATCTAAACCAAGACAATCTATGGAGTATTGCAGAGATGAAAATGAGCAACACCAGATAAATTAAAAGAGATGAGCTGAATGCTGCCGTTAGAGCAACCTGGCCTTCCTCAACACCTCAGCAGAGCCTCAAGCTGATTACCTCCATGCCACACTGCACTGATGCAGTTATTTATGCATAAGGTGTACTGGGTGTGCATTCTGTGCAATACAGACACATTTCAGCTCACATCTATGCTAAAAATCCTTTTTTAAGTCTTCTCATATTTCAATAACATTGTAGTGCATTGAAATGCACCTGTAAGCTCAACCTCAGAGAATGAATACTTCTGAAATTCATTTCTCATGACAATGATAGGACAGAAGTGGCCTGTACTTGTACAGAGCTTTATCTAGTGTAGAGACTAGATAAAAGCCCTTTACACTACATTCAGTCATTCACACACACACACACAGCTGGAGATGAGCTACATAGTAACCATAGCAGCAGGCAAAGTGGGTGAAGAGTTTTGCTCAAAGACAACGACAGACGGAGCAGGGATTTGAACTGGCAACGCATCAGTGACAGGAAAAACTCCTACCACAGTTGCCCCAATGATTTCAACCAAACACCAAACAGAAAAAGTCGACTCAAATGCTGAATTTGACAAAATTCACTGTAATGGCAAACATATTGTGGAAGTGAACCAACAAAGGCAAGGCTTTGCTGAGTGCTGTATCCAGATATAATTTTAAGACATGATACTACATAACATGATGCACTCTAAATAGTTAGCCAAATAATTTTCGTTTATCCATAATAAAAATAATAAAAATTCTGGTTTATTTTAAAATTAGGAAAATGCGTAGTGATAAACTGTGGTTGTTTTGAATGAACAAATATTAAATAAAGATGATTTTCTGGCGATACTGGGTTAGCTTAAATAAAACAACCGGAAGCCAATTTCTTCTTCAATCAAGTCGTGAATCCTCATGTGCCATTTGTAACAAAGTCGTGCAAAACCAGGAAAAATAAAGAGACACGTTTGCCATTTTAACACAAATCCTTGAACTGGTAGGAAAGGATTTTGCTCTGATAGAAGGTCGGCAGTATAAACACTAAAACCTGTTAGTTACCTGAGCATTTACAGCCTCCGTCTTGACTTCGGTGCCAGCTGTGAGCACAGCGCTGGGGGCAAGCCCTCCCAACTCTACAGAACCCTATGGATCAAACAGATGTGTTCAACTTTAACCACAAAAAGCATACCCATTAGGATATCCCTGTTAAATATCACAATAAAAGTATACATGCTAAAATAGACTTCCAATTTCCTCCCTGTTCTTTACTGTTAAGGTGCTTCAAGTCACTCCTGACAAGAATAGTCGGCAGCTTCACCTGTGTCTGGTGAGAACAGTGAGACTCCGAACAACAGACTCAAAATACTACTGCCATGCAAACCAAATTTCATCATATTCAAGGCAAATTTGATCATATCACTATATGCAATATTAATGTCAAAGAACTTAATGGCATTTTATTTGTAGAAAATTATATTCAAAGTGTCAAAAGATGGAGTCAAACCTAACATGATAATGCTTAAGCTCAGAGATAAAAACACACAGCAAGAGTTAAAAGCGTCTAAGATTTGAGAAATTGATGTGTGATGCAAATGGAGATTTATCATTAAAATATTTAATTATTCCTCTAGTGCATGATTTTCTAATATTATGTAGCCCTACAATACAGGGGTCTAGAAAGACCAAAATATGCTCAGCATTTTGCATCAACATTTGTGAACAGCAAAACAGCAGACTCCATGTAAATTCCATAGGAAGCGGACAGCCTGCCCTCGCTCAAGATTCCCAAACATTTTCACATCGCACATGATCCACAGTGGATGCAGGTTAAAGCTCCAAAGTATAAAGCAGAGCAAATCTGTTACATTCAATCAGGCTTTCTGTTACCTGCTAAAAGTCTAGCTTCTTGTTTAATCAAATCTAACTTTTAATACCTCACCGATACTAAAAATAGCCAAGTCATCTTTCCTCAGCAATAGGTTAAACATCCAAGAGCATTTCTGTTGATGTTAGCCGATAGTGCTTAGTATGCGTTTACTGATCAAGAAGCCAAAAAAAAAAAAAAAAAAAAAAATTACGACTGAAGTACTAGCTTAAAAATGTACAAATGCAACCCAGATCATTCTAGCTCAGTTTCTCTTACAAATATTTACCTGGGAAATACACATTTAACTATACAGCCACAAACTACAGCTGGAAACACTGTGTTCTCAGCTGCAAATCTCTTGGATCATGAGTTGGATATTATTGTTACTATTATCATTACTAATCTTGTTTTTTTTTTTATTTATTGTTTAGTGTGAACCTATATACACAACGCTACTGTTGCATCTGAATTTCCCCCTTTAGGCCGGTTTTACTTTCTGTAAAAACATGAAAGTCCTCTTCCAATTATCCAGCAGCGCCATGCAGAGACGATTAGGAAGGAAATGGCAGTAACCAACCTTGCTGGCGCGGATTTGTCTGTAGATGTCTGTCTGCTGTCGGATGCGGTATTCCAGGTCCGAGATGTGGGCCTGAAGCCAGTTCCAGTGGCTGATGATACCAGCTCTCTCCACGGTGTAGCGGCTCTCTGCCCGCTTCCATCTGTAGGGGGAGAGAGGGGGAATGTTTACAGCTGAGCCACTTCATGGGACACAAATACACAAAATTCACACTTCCTAAAGTCATTTTTCACACCTGTGGATTTATTAACAGGTTCCAGTAGTTAAGAGGCAGATAGGATCATTGTTTTTAAAGTACTAGTAATACACACTGATCATTAAAGCAGCATTTCCCCCATCAGACTGCAGAGGTCAGTGAATCAGCATTACAGATAACACCCACTAATGAGAGCTGCAGGGAGCCTGGACGAGCACTGAAGCCAAAAACAAAAACATTACAACTGCTTTATAGATGAAGAAAAACAACAGAAAAAGGCGGTTTCTGTAACACTGTTATCTTCCATTGTAAACAGTGTGCAAAGCTCATAGCTGGGTACTCCATTTTACCAGTATGACACACAGAATGGGCATTTCAAAGGCAGACATGAGAGGAAAATGTCTGCTGCTGCACCAAAAGGCAGCAACCACAAGGGGAGCTGTTCTTCCAAAATGTAGGCCACAGTGACACTAGCTGAACAATGAAAATAATGACTCAGATGGCAGACAAAGATAGACCTCGTACCCCTGTGCATTCTCTTTCTTCAAAGCTCATCTCTGTTTAAGTCTTCAACAAGGACCCGGTTAGAATCTACAGAGAGCATGCACCGCCGAAAGCAGAGAGGCAAAAGAAGAGGGGTGGAAAATGGGGACAACGGGGGCTGGGAAGCTCTGGCAGTCTGCAGAGGAACAGACGGGCTTTAAAAGCAATCTACAGGCCACAGAGTGCTGGAGGGGGTGGGGCTGGGTCAGGAAACAGAGGAGCATACACTGGGATAACCAATAATCCAAGCAGGGATCCTGCCTTATTGAGAAGCTGATCAGAGACAGTTTCTGTCCCCTAAAAGCAGATGCCAGCCACCAATCAGTTTAATCAAGAACCACTTAATTCCTCCCTTCTTTTCCAACTGCAACATTTGCCCATCTATGACTCGTTTCACTGCAACACAGCATCAAGGACAACAGCTAACAATTCAGCTGCAGTATTTCCTGCTAGCACCACTTCCTTTTGCTCTTCTACAGACTTAATCCTGTTCTGCTGAGGTAAACAGTCATGCTCTCCTTTCACAAACTACAGGGTGACAGACACTGCGACAATCCTAGGCAACCACACGGTGCATCAGATAGGTGCACTATTAAAGGTGGTTTATTAACATACATAAGTCATCATGGAGCCTTTTTCCAAAGCAAAACCGATAGGCTGAAGTGTGTTCGGGTTTGTGGAGCTACTGGCTTTATGGTGTGATTCAGTGAGAGCTGGGTGGACATCTGAGGCAACAGAAGGAGAATGAGCCAGGTGCAAAGTCCCTGAGGGGGGGAGGACTGGAAAATGATCACAGAAATTCATACTGAAACAGAATAATGTGAGCTTAAACTTCTGAAGAGAGAATAAAAGCAGCATTGACCTGCCTATAAAGAAACCAGGGTTGTCATCAACAGTCAGAGGGTCAAGGACATGATTTATTTCATACGTTGGAGGGAAAAAACAAATCCCTGGCAACCGCTGATTAAAGCAGGATTATTTATGATATTGTTGAACGTTAAAATACTTGAAATTTAGTTTGATTTAATCACCATGATCAAAGTTTTCATCGTTTAACCTTAAAATAGGTGAGTGTGTTTGTATTTGGTGAAAGCCAGGGCCACCACATGAAACCATCACAATCCAAGGCAGGAAATGTCATTTAAAGCTAAATAGCTAATTGAGATTTCTGTATCCGACCTGAGAAGCACTGAAGTGATTTGGGAAACAACTTGGTACTTAGTACCGTCACTGGTGAGGATGAAAAATGACAAAGTAGTCAAAGGACATTGCTCATTCTTAATCTAAAGTGGCAAATGTCTAACATTGACAGCAAAATGTAATTTTATAATGAGGAATATAGAGATGAAGAATTTGAATATAAACTGAGGTAGCAAATCTGCTTGGAATGATAAACAGATTTTTTTACTACAAGGTCAGGGTTTAGTTAAAAAGCTTTGGTTGCAAACACACTTGGTCATCGGGTAATAGTTATTAATACACTGGGTTTTTCCCAATGTATTATAAGCCTGGCGGGCCACCAGACTTTACTTGTGTCCCTGCCAGGCTAAGCATCGCTTATTTATTTAAGTTTTAAAAACTGTTTGCATTTTTTAAGACTTTATACTTGGTGTTCAGATATTAATCTTCTAATCTTTCAACAACACATCATTTTCAAGTGATATTTTCAAATTTCCTGTTAACTTTAAACATTTTTAACTCAAAAACACAATGGACCGCTGGGTGAATCACTGCCCGAGCGCTCCAACCACCAGGCTTAGCAGGTTTTCTGGGGGAAACCTTGTATAGGTCTTTCTACATTTTGCATAACATGTTTATATAGCCAATACAAATATACCAGAACACTTACTGGCCACTACATAAGGTACACTTACTTGTGAACACAAATAGAAACCCATCAAATTGTATGGTAGCAACTTAATGCATTTAGCAGAGTTTTAGTCAAACCTGCCAAAACCAAGCCTAGACTAAGACCAAACATTTATTTTTTTTTAAAATCAGCTGTGAAAGCTCATTAGCAGACTGACCACAAACTTACATGTAAGCAGACCCTCAACTACATCCCACTTGTCCATTAAAAATGACCAGCTGCTAAGAAGTTAAAAAGACAAACATCTAGCCAAATGGTAACAGACTCAGCATGAGTTGAGGTGATAAGGAGGTAAAGGATTGAACTTACTTAGCATTTTTTCTTTGAAAATGCTTCTTCTTGTTTTCTCACTCCTTTCATCTGGCAGATGGGCAACAGTAGTTGAAACATCTACTCATTACAACAAATGCATGTGGAAACAGCGACTTATAAGGCTGCAGGCAAACTTTGAAGCAGACTAGCTACAACAAAAGAACAGGAACGCCAGGGCTAAGGTTCACACGGGTTTACCATAATCTGACAACAGATTGGAAGAAACGTTGCCTGGTACGATGAGTCTACAGTTCAACTGCAACATCCTTATTAGCAACGTTTAGTGGCATGGACTGGTTTCTTGAACACTACAATGAGTTCAGTGTTCTACAATGGCTTCCACAGTCACCAGATCTCATACAGATAGAGCACCTTAGAGACGTGATGGAACATGAGATTCACATCATTGTGCAGCCGACAAACCTTCAACAACAATGATAAGCTATCATGTCAAATATGGACCAAAGTCTCAAGGGACAGCCTATTAAATTTAGGCCCAGGAGGATTAAGGCCAACCTGTTACTGTCAAGGTGCAATTAATGAGAATCTACACAATGCTTTGAATAAAAGGTCCTATTTTATCACTAATTTAAGTAGGAGGCCATGGTTAAACACAGAAACTCAAACGTGCCAGACAATAATTTAATCATTTTGACAATCCTGTACATAATGTTTGTCAAAGAAAAACTTAACTGGAAACACCACTGAATTAAATTAATGCTAAAAGAAATCGTCTTTGTAAGATAGACTTTCTAAGTTTTAGGGGAAATTACCTGGAAAAAATAGCGTTTAGATCAGTGAGATTCTAAACCTATTTCAGTAGATAACCATGTATGGATGGACAGTTTTATTGCTTCTGTTCAGGCTTCATATCTTTTGGCAAACTTATGAGTCATTTGTATTGTCTTTGTTCTTTTACACACACACACACACACACACACGCACGCACACACGCACACACACACTGACCAGGCAAATGGTCTAGAAGTGAAATATGAATGTCAGACAAATATTTTTAGTTTTGATTTTTGCTTTTACATTTTAACTCACAAATCAGACCACAAGCCCTCTACAGCCTTAGGAAGGTGACTGAACGTTGTACTAAATTTTCAGTTCAAAGCACATCAATTTCAAATACATTTTACTGCATATCCTGCCAGCTGATGTACACAGTTGTTTACAGCTCTATCACCTCCACCTGGAAATTCAACTGTTGAATAATTTATTTCCCAAAAAGACAAAAATACAAAGCTCCTGCTAAAAAGGCCTCGAGTCTTAGTACAGTAGTAGACCTGAGTGATTAGTCGTCTCTGAGTTAAACAGATGAAAGTGGAAGGAGCAGAGTCTGGATTTGAATGTGGTCAAATATGAACACTTGTAGGACATCACACATCCAATTACCTCAATCATCAGAGGCGCAGAGAAGAATGAGGAAGAGGAGGGATTGCTCAACACCCCTACCACCACTCTAAATGGGATGTGTTCTCCTCCCCCAGCTCCAGCACACAAAGCACCGATGGCAGTCTCTACAGCTGCCGTTTCCTGGCTGTCAGCACATTCTGCAGCGTGGCGCTTCTCTGGATGCAGCGCACATGTGGTCCGTCACTGGGAACCAGTACGCTATACTGATCCTGAAAAACGTGGCCCAAATCTCCTGAGTGACAGCAGCCCACAGAAACATCACTAATAATCCACAAATCATCAATCCAGGAGAAGTTTCCAGATGTAAAGTTTCAGTTTTCCCATACATGAATTACTTCTTTATGCATTAGGCCTGAAGCCATTTCCCTGATCGATTTTCACTCTAACCACAAAACGGAGCAAATATACACAGAATACATAAAAACACAAGGACATCTCAAAAAGTCTGAATTTCAAAATGTTTTGAAATATGAACACTTGTAGGACATCACACATCCAATCACCTCAATCATCAGAGGCGCAGAGAAGAATGAGGAAGAGGAGGGATTGCTCAACACCCCTACCACCACTCTAAACGGGATGTGCTCTCCTCCCCCAGCTCCAGCACACAAAGCACTGATGGCAGTCTCTACAGCTGCCGTTTCTGAAATAAGTTTTGCTCATTTCAGAAAGCAAAACTCAGATTCACAGTACATAGAATAAAACCAATCATAGACCGTGGAAATGTAGGATTCTGCACCTCCAGTTTTCTTCCAGATTCATGGACCTTGATTTCCAAATGAAAATATGACCTTCAACCACAAAGCAACAGTGCAGTCTCTGATTTTGGAGTGACTTGATACGAGGCAACATTTGTGTCCCAGGTGAAGGCTTCACCTGTGCGTAATGGCTCTTTCCATTCAGACCTCAGCCTGAATGGATTTAGCCAGACAATCCTCTCAAGGATGTGGTTATTGCTGTTGCACATTTTCTTACCACAGTTTTTCCTTCCAATCAACTTCCGATGAATATGCTTGGATTTAGCGCCATAAACCAGCTTCTTTAGCATGGCTTGCGGAAGGTGTCAATGACAGTTTTCTGGATATCTGTCAAGTCAGCAGTTTTCCCCATGATTGTGTGATCACCAACCCAGATAAAAATCATTTAGAGGCTCATGAATCCCTAAATATTTGGGGGTGGCCCTGATTTTTTCCTTTTTTTTTTTTTTTTTTAAACAATATTCAATTTTTTTTTTTTTTGAGACTTTGAATGCTGGGTTTCCATGGTCAGCAAGACAATCAAAATGAAAACAAAAAGAATTTTGAAATATTCCACTTTATGTGTAATAAATCTATGAGTTTAACTTTCTGAAATGAGTAGGAAAAAAATATTTACCTTTTCTTGTACAATATTACGTTTTTGTAGATGTACCTGTATTTAAGGTTTTTGCATTTTGACAGAGAAAAAAAAACAAAAACAAATGATGGTATGTTGCTATGCAAGGAAAGTGTTGCATCAACTGACAAGTCTTTACAAGCCAAAATTCAGAGCAACATTATCTAAAACAACATGTTGCAAACATTACATGTTGTTGCATGTGTGAAGTAGTATAAGTGGTTTCATTAATTGTTGAATTAAAATCAAACTAACTGAGCGGTTCAAAATGTATACCCAAAGAATGAAGTTTCAAAGTATTCCCACATTAAAGCTTTGTAAGTGTAAAAAAAAAATAACTTTCTGATGTCAGATAAAGTAGGATAGAGACAGATCACTGTATTTTGGTATTCCTTCAAAGTATGTACAAGTTATTGGCAAGATTCAGAGATCATGGCGTGCAATGGTTTTTAAAGGCAAGAGTTTTTAGAACTAGAGAAAGAACTGAAGTTCTCTGACAGCGTAAGGCAGATTAAGACAAATAAATGTGGCTTTTATGGAAAAAGTTATAGTCAAGAAAAACCGAACAGTCATTTGTGGTGACTAACAGAGTGCCACCCAACACTATTTTGAAGGCAACACTGTTTTAACACAACACTTTGCAAGCAAAGAGGAGTAAATCTGATAAGCAACTGACTACAGGTTGGCTGCCCTATCAAACAGTCTAATTAAACCAGTAATATCAGCTTTCTGTACCTCCAGTGTTGATTTATAAAAAGCAGAATGGCCAAAATATGCAGCATTTTTTTTTTATGTTATGTGTAAAAAGTAAATTTGCTTTGTGTCAATACAGAATCACATACTGCCCCATGCCTTGTCATGCATCATGAGACAGTTGGCATTTATTTAGGCTTCGTTATAAATGCAAAGCTGAATTTTCAAGTGGGACATTTACATGAAGGTCATCAGTTAAGTTTGTCTGCAACCTGATATATTTGGACTTGAAAAGCCTTCAGTCTCTCACTGCTATTTTAACTACTTCATTGTAGAGTTGAAACGCTTATTCTGATCAACAGTGATGACTTGATTATTGAAATAATTGCGAACTAATTTAGGAATCGATTGTTAATTGCTGAGTGTACAGATTCAAACAATGTACGGAATAAAACAAAGTCAATTGGTGAAAAAACAACCCACTTATAGTAAATAAACAAAAACTACATTGACTTTAAGGTTATTGTATATTAAGGTTAAAAAAAAAGAAAAAAGCCCTTTGTAAATATGTTCTGCCCACAACTCCTTAAGCGGCATAAAAATAAATAAATAAATAAATAAAAATCTCTAGAACTTTGAGATATCCAATTATTAATCAGTTCATGGTAAAAAAAAAAATGATTAGCCCTGAACTGTGTTGATGTCAAGTCAAGCAGAAAGGACTTCACTTTTCAGATTTTGTATGTCAGAAGTATTTTTTGTAGATGAGGATGTATCCTTTGCTACAAATGATCAAGTGTACACTAAAGGAAAAATATATGATTTAATTTTAGGCATCAACAATTACGGATGTCCTGATCCGACCATGTGACCTGAAATTCAGCCTGGTCACATAGTTTCACACTGGATCAGAATCAGACGTCACATCCCGGTCAGGGATCAAATAAACATTTACATTTACTCTAAACAAAACGAGAATAGCACTATCTACAGTTATGAGGTGGTACAGAGTCAGACCATCTCGAAACAACACAATCTCAGCACTTTGCAGCAGTGGCTGCCGTAAAGCAGAGCACATCAGCAGCTTGGAGTGGGAGCATTTTTCCCAACTTAGTGACGACGTCACTGTGTTTAGCAACTTTCCAGACCCTCCAGCAACTTTTTATCAAAAAAGTGACTAGTGACAAATCAACAGTCTCTGTTTTATTGGATACTTTGGAGATAAAGTGAGAAAACACCAACAGAACTGCAGTTACGCTGCAGAGAGCACTTGCAGTCAGTCACTGTGACTGCAGTAGAGCAGAGAGACCCATTTTGTTTCAATAACGGAATGGAAACACAAATGTGAAAAACTGCCAGTGATCCCGCTCTAGATTACAGTTAAAGTTTATTTTTATTTATTTTTTTTCCCCCACAATATTTTTGAAATATCGGATTAGGACGCCATCAGCCGATACTCAAAATAAAATGACAGAGGCAAAAAAAAAAAAAAAAAAACTAATTCTAACATCCCCATTTTTTATTTAAAAAAAAAAATCCAGAAATTTTTATCTTAATGTCTTTC